CGCAGGACCCTGGGGGTGGGTGGCCGTGTGAAGGGTGCCGGATGGGGCTGTGACGGGCGGGGCGGCCCTCTGTCAGGGCTGTGCAGCGCCGAGTCCCACCTGGCACCACATCCCCTGGCCTCCAGGTCCCAGATCGCGGCCTTCATGTCCCAGGTCGCACCCTCCACCGCCGGGGTCGGCACTGGGCGGCTTACGTGGTCGAGTGACATGCGCTTGGAGGGAAGATGCGGGGGAAAGCTGCTGTTGTGTGCCACGTTCACTGTCTCCAAGCTTCCAGCCAGTGCAAAGTAAAAATAGTTCGCGTGTTAACAACTACGCAGTGCTCGCGAAATTCCAAATTCAGATGGCCAGTGCTCAAAAGAAACCGAAGGGCAAGTCAGTGGACGGGCTTCGTGCCCTGTGGGCGCGCTGCTCATCGCTTTTTAATGTTTCTTGCCAAAATTGTGATTTTTCTGATTTTTTGGTTTTTTACAGATCATCAGAAACTGGAAAGGGAAGCCAGAATCTGCCGTCTTCTGAAGCACCCCAATATCGGTAAGGCGTATTTCGGTGTCTGAGCTGCATGTTACGTATTCTCACCACGACCAAGTGTGGACTTCATGACCCAGCATCTGCGGCTGTTGACAGACAGGCCCCTGACTCTCAGTCCTGCCTGCATTTGGCTGTTTAAAGGTTTTAAGTTTTTCCAAAACTTGTAGTTCTGTATCTGCGGATACTTAAAAACCAGCACCAGGTCGTCCGGCTGCCGCTGGCGGGTGGGAGACGGGACGGAAGCCACCGGGTTAGTCCGCTAAATCGCTTTCACCTGTTCTGTAAAAGTTCCCCTTAAAATCGATTCCATTCCAGAAACTAGCAAACTTAAAATATTATTCCTCAGGAATGATAAAGTAGCATGACGATGTTCAAAATAAAAAATGACGGATATAAGAAAAGCAGAAGAAACAAAGGAAAGGAAGAGAGTAACTCCGTGCGCGTGCTCGATCCTGTGACGGCCGCCACCGTCATTTTGGAAAAATGTTGCTGCCTCAGCTCTGTCTCTCTCACTGTCACGAGTGCGTCTGACGCCGGGGGTGGGGACCGCCTGAGGACACTGAGGACACTGGCCGGTGGGGGAGCTGGGGGACCGCCGGCCGGCAGGCGCCTGCCCTCCGTGTTCCCGCGTGGGGCGTCCGGTGCGCTCCGCCCATGTCCGGGACTCGGTGCTTCTCGGGCTCTGAGTGAGTGGACGGACGCGGCCCGGTACCTCTGCCTCTGCGCTCACAGCCATCTGACAGGGATCTGGTTTGCGGAGTGCCAGTGACCCCCGTGCACGCCTGCCTCGTGGGGCGCGTTTCACCCGACAGAGCCCCCGGCACCCCTTGATTGGCTGTACTACTTTGACCTCACAAAGGACCTCAGACCGAGTGGCTTAGAAACAGCAGCGTCTCTTCTCACAGTGCTGGAGGCGGGTGGTCTGAGACAGAGGGTGAGCAGGCGGCATCTTCCGAGGCCTCTCCCAGGCTCGCACACGCAGTCCCCGTGTGACATGGGGCCCCGCTGGAGACTGCTCTGTGGGCGCCAGTCCTGTGCATGGGGGTCCACCCGGCTGCCTCCCTTGACTCAGTCATCCTCCAGCCCGTGCCCTGCCCAGCCATGCGGTCCAGGGTGCGGGCACGCGTTCATGTAGGGGACAGGCGACTCAGCCCAGAGCACCAACGCGGAGGCAGGCCCGAGCTCCGGGTGGGGACAAGGTGCAGCCTTCCTGTGGAGGACTCGTCCCTGGGGAGAAGCTATGCTGGTTAGGTTTTCAGTCTTTGTCCGAACCCTGTTTTCTTGGGTGATGGAACTGGTAGCCTCCTTTTTGTGTAGGGGACCAGGATCGGCCCCACCTGGGAACGGCCAGGGCGGTTTGCACTGATGCTCGTATGGATCGGCTCGTAGGGATGAGCCGTGTGCTGGGGACAGTCCAGCGCTGCCCGGGCTCCCTGCAGTGTTGGCATCCGACCCAGCCCCTCGGGGCCTCGTGGGGGTCTCTTCTCTCTCGGGACTTCAGGGGACCGTGCCGTGGAGCTGCCAGGCCCTGGGCCTCGTTTCCAAGCCCAGGAGAGGTTTCCGGTGGCCCTGCACTGCAGGGGTGAGGACGCCTTGCTTTTCACCTCACCCCCATGGTGGTTCCCCACGCATGTGATGGAAGGTGACTCAGCAATGGTGGTTGTCATCCGCGCGCAGCAGCGGACAGACACCACGGGACGCCCGTGCGCACTGTCCCCTGTGTGCGTCCCCTGAGTGGGCACAGTCACGACGGCGCAGACTCCGCAGGGAACAGCTTCGCTCCCGGCTCCCTGGAGCAGGCGTGAGGACGCGGAACTGTCACGAGACCCCGGGGCTCCCCCCGCCCGTGTTGTTACTCTCCCGGTTTTCTGAAAATCGCTCCGGTTCTCGGACTTCGCGGAGGGAAATGCTGCGCTGCACAGTTTCCCCCATGCGGATTTGTGTGTCACACTTCTGCTCTTGTGTCCGCGCTCTCGGCACAGACTCGACAGTCAGAGGAGCCGCCAGGAAGAGGGCTCTCCCAGAGGAGCACGCTGAAAGCGGCTGAGGGCGATGACTCACCGAGCCACGTGTCTTCCAGTGCTTTTTTTGTTGTTGTTTTTCTGATTTTCAAAGCAATGCCCACGTTTGGTGGAGAGTGTGGGAAACAGTCACGTATAAAGAAGCATCCTGAAGGAACAGCCTTTAGGGGAGCCGTGGAAGCACAACGTTGAGTTGTCCCGCTCTGCGCGGGTGACAGGGAGGGGGCT